GGGCAGTGTCACTGGCCCTCATATGTGGGATCCGAACTGGGGCCCTCTGGCATCCCAAGCGAGTTCTTAACCATTGCGCCACTCGGCCGGCCCTGTATTGAACTTATTAATTTTTATTTATTCTCTCAAAATTCATGAGGGTAATAAATCAAAACATTCTGTTTCTTTCCCCACTCTACTCCTATTTTTAAGTTCTGAACTTGTTCCTTTGATGTTAAAGGTTTCTCTGAAGTGTTGGGTAAGCCTTGGTTGATTGGGAGGGTGTCGTGGAAGAGAGGAGCCAGCCCTTGGACTGAAAGCTCTGAATGAGGAAGGCTTTTGGGCAGGATTCTGTCCTAGTTCTCTCTGGATGGTATATTTAGTTTCTTTATTGAGTAATTCTCAGCTTATTGGTAAATTTGTATTTGTCGGCCGAGCAGTATAGAGCTGAGTTGGCAGATACTACTGGTTATGTAGGTCCCCATTTTCCCTCCTACTGTTTACTTCCCTGCTGATTGAGACCCTCCCTCACCTCAACAGGGGTGCAGTGAAGAGCAAAAATAATTTTTAATTTGCATAAATTTTAAAGTGTAAAAAAATATCAGTATTGAGAAGTCCCCATCCTATTGTAAGTTTGGACCATGAACTTGCTCTTTTTCATAAAACTGTTATAAACCATGGTCAAGTTACCAGGTCAGACCACATAAATGGATTCTACCCAGTATCATGGCTGAAATGGTTTTCCTTCCTTTGCATCACCAACAAGGAAACAATGCCATAAATATTTTTTCCTTGAAGCCAGATAGATATATCTAAGGTCTCCTTAAACAGCTGCATAGCCTGTAAACATGACTAGTTGGTGGCATTGGCCAAAGGAGGAGCTCAGTCTAGAAAGCCTTTCCCAGAAATATACTGGGAGCTGGAGTGGGAAACCCATTTTCCAGAGAGGTGGAAAAGTGGTTAAATAGCCAGTCACAAAGATAGTCAAAAGGAAGGCGCTAAAACACAGCATCTGCGGACAGAGAGCTTGGGCTCCTCCCAGCATAGTATTTCTCAGAGTGTAGTCTGCAGTTCATTCACTGCATCCTAGAATGCTCATTAAAAAGGCTGGTTTCTGCGACCCACTCCAGTCCTATTGAATCAAAACATTAAACACATAATCCTGCTGAGTAAATTGCAGCTGACTTCTGAACAATGTGGGTCTGAACTGCACGACTCCACATGTACTCGGACTTCTCAGTTCACAGTTCAAACCCATGTTTGTCCAAATGGCAATTGGGAATCTGCATATGCGGAGGGCTGATTTAGTTACATGGGGATTTTCTACTGCATGGGCAGTCAGTGGCCCTAACGCACACATTGTTCAGGAGTCAGCTGTTTTAAAATACAAGATTCTTGTTGACAGGAATCACCTTTACTATTTTCTGTTCTTCATTTTGCCTTGTATATACCATGTTTCCCCATGTATAAAGACACACCCATGTATAAGACGCACCTTAATTTTGGGGCCCGAAATTTGAACAAAAATGCATTACATCAAGTTATTGAACTCAAGTTTTATTCATCATAAAATTCATAAAACTCCTCATCACTGTCAAAACTCCCAACCGTAGCCAGTCTCGGATGGTTATCTCAGTTGGAGGAGGATCATACTTACGTTCATCAGCACGATTTTCATTCACTTTTGCAAACTGGACCACTTTTAACTTGAATTCAGCACTGTGCGAAAATCTTTTCTGAGCCATTTCTGGGCAGAACGTGGCAAAACGTAACCTAATATACCGGTAACAAGTGCGAAACAATGAGCGCAAAGACAACAAGCGCGAAAAAGCGGGAAATGCAAGTTAAAAAAAATCGACAACCACTGTATAAGATGCACCCAGTTTTTAGACCCCAAGTTTTTCGAAGAAGCATGCGTCTTATACATGGGGAAATACGGTAAATCGTCCATTGTATTGTGGAGACTGAAACAATTATATCCACACCTCTTGTCAGCTTTAGGTGTCAAGTGATCTTTGTGGTTGTAAAAATCTAATGTTGGAAGAGCAATTTTAGGACTTATCAATACATGCTTCCTTTACATAGAGAAAATGGGATTTAGAGTGCAGTTTCCAATTTCATTAAACATTTAAGCTCCTTTGTGCATTGATAGAAAACTGTTGCATTTAAATATCTTAGTCCATATCTTGATACATTGGTAAACACCCAATATGTTAATTTGTAGTATAAGAAGAACTTATTTAGGGCCGACTTTGTTTATAAAGGAAATTTTGTTAGAAATACTTAGAGGCTATGAGCCCTTTAATTACTCTCATTTGCAAATAGTTTTCTGTGTGTGATTCAGTGTTTTTCTGAATATGATGCAATAAAGCAAAAATGCAGACATAAATTCTAAGATTTTATATATATATGAATGGTAAAATTTTATATTGATCAAAACAGCATTCCAGTCAGTAATACTTGCATTTATAATAAATCATTGCTATACATTCGAACTTAGAAAAATTTTACTAAAAAAAAAATGCTTCTA